AAGATGAAGAAAACAATACAAAGAATGAATCAAAAAGCTGGTTCTTTGAAAGATTAAATAAAATTGGTAAGCCCCTAGCTAACCTCATCAAAAAGAGAAAAGAAAAAACTCAAACTCAAGCAACAAAGAATGAAAAGGGCAAAAGTACCACAGACCCTGTGGAAATTCAGAAGTTCATCAATAGCTATTTTGAAAATCTTTACTCTCACTGAATCAAAGACACAAAAGAAATGGACATATTCCTAGAAAGGTACAAATTACCAAAACTGAATCAAGAAGATACAAGAACTCTCAATAACCCAATATTAGCCAATGAAATTGAAAATGTAATTAAAAGTTTACCAATGAAGAAAAGTCCAGGTCCTGATGGAGTCACAGCTAAATTCTACAAGAAACTTGCAGAAGATATAATCCCAATACTCCTCAAACTCTTCAACGAAATTGAAAATGAAGCAGTACTCACAAAATCATTCCTGGAGGCAAGAATTATACTGATACCAAAACCAGAGAAAGATGCAACTGAGAAAGAGAACTACAGGCCAATCTCCATCATGAACATAGATGCAAAAATCCTCAGTAAATTCCTAGCGAATAGAATACAGCAAATCATCAAGAAGATTATATACCACAACCATCTAGGATTCATCCCAGGGATGCAAGGATGGTTCAACATATGCAAATCTATAAATTTACTACACTATATCAATAGAGCCAAAAACAAAATCGACATGATCATCTCAATTGATGCAGAAAAGGCTTTTGACAGTCTAACACTCATTTGTATTCAAAGCCCTACAGACAACTGGAATAGATGGCCTATACCTCAATCTGATAAAACCATCTATGACAAGGCAGCTGCTAACATAATTCTAAACCAGAAAAAACTGAAATCTTTTACTCTCAGATCAGGTACAACACAAGGATCTATGCTGTCACCACTCCTATTCAATATAGTTCTGGAATCATCAGAGCCATTAGACAGAGAGGAATAAAAGGAATAAGAATACATAAGAAGTTAAACTATCATTATTTGCAGATGACATGATACTCTACTTGGAAGATAAAAAAACTCCACCAAGAAGCTCCTAGAATTAATAAACAAATTTAGTAGCATAGCAGGTTACCAAGTCAATACCCAGGGCCGACCTGATACCTCAGTGGACTAAAGTGCCTGCTTAGGCAGAGCACAGTAGCTGGGGTTCAGTCCCCATTGTGCCATGCTAGCCTCGCCTTTGGGGCATGCTGAGACAGTGATTAAGACTGGGCATGGTGGTGCATGCCTGTAATCCCAGGATTTGGGAAGCTCTAAACAGAATTACTATGAGTCCAATCTACGTAGTAAGACCCTGAACACACTGTAGACCCTGCCCTAAAATACAGAAAATAAAGTCAATACTCAAGAGTCAATAGCATTTCTCTGTACAAATAACACACTGAGAGAGAAAGTAAAGAAACAATACCCTTTACAATAGCACCACAAAAAAAGAAATACTTAGGGATTAATCTAAAGAAGTAAAATATCTATTCAATGAAAATTATAGTACTCGGAAAAAAGAGATTTAAGAGAATTTCAGAAAATGGAAAGATATTCCTTGCTCCTGGATAGGAAGAACCAACATTGTGAAAATGGCTGTATTCCCAAAATTGTTATACAGACTTAATGCAATTCCTATCAATATACCACCAACATACCTCAGAAAACTAGAGAAATATTTCATAAAATTTATGTGGAACCAGAAAAAACCTAGAATTGCAAAGCAATCCTGGGCAACAAAGGTAAAACAGGAGGCAATACAATCCCTGACTTGAAATTATACTACAAAACTACTGTGATAAAATCAGCATGGTATTGGCAAAAAAAAAA